TATCCTGGTTTTATCCGTAGGTATAAATGTAAATGAACCTTTGTTCTTAATTTGAATTTCCCGCTCATTGGATTCATACGCTATCTGTGGACAGCAAGCCTGTACTACTCTATGATATGGTAGTTGACTCGACAATTAGTTAAATTCAATACTTTTATCGAAACATTACAAACGATACTTTTCTATTAATTTTGTATATAATCTGATGACGTCATCATATTTTCGCGTCAAATAGCACACTTATACCTAAAAAAATGCTAGAATAAATCGAAAATTAAGTATATCGGCAAATCAATGAATGAACGTGTAACTATTTTTCATTTTCAATATATAATTAGACCCAATTGTGTGTGAAAAATGTTGGTGATCACGTTTTACTAATTATTGTTAAAATAATAGAAAAATATTGAAGCAATTAACTTTTAATGTTGTCTCTCTTTTTACAGGTTAGTAGTTTACTTAATAACAGTGATCTGTATGTTTAAATATTAGTTAGGTAATTATGTTTATACAAAAACTAGCAGCCCGTCCCGGCTTTGCACGGGGTAGACAATTATTTATTTTTGGAAATTTGGATTGTTGTAGTGACATAACTACAATAGTTGGACATATGCTACCGCGGATTTTTTGGAGCCATTATGATGTTCTTCAATATTGTTGTATATACATTATTTTGTTCTATCGCTAATAGTTTCGGCAGCGCATTCGACGAAAGACATTTTAAGACTCATTTTTCTACACCTTTTCTACAACTTTTTTCAAAATGAAATGTAGCCTATGTCAAATTGGAAGAATGTAGCATTCTATTGGTGAAAGAATTTTTTAAATCGGCCCAGTACTTTTTGAGCCTATTCATTACAAACATACAAAATAGGTACAAATCTTTTCTCTTTATAATATTAGTATAGATAACTACATGCTTAGTTTGTATAATGTTTTAATTAGAATTTTCTCTTTTTACAGAGCAATAACATAAGCAGTTTTTTTTTCTTTTCTTTTAAAAACGTTGCCCCACACTAGGATTTTCTCCTGTGTCGTGGGTGCGTTTACAAACATACAAGTTCACATACACAATTACACCCAGACCCGAAACAACAATTTGTGGATCACACAAAGTGTTATCCCGTGCGGGAATCGAACCCGCGACACGTTGCACGGCAGCCGGTTACCCAGCCACCGCACCGACCGTGCAGTAACTAACATATTACATGTATATAAATAATTGGGAATTATTATCTGTATTCTGTTTATAGTTTTAATTTGACCTGGGACGCGGGGATTTATCTTTTTCGTACTTTGTTCTACGTAATCAACGTGTTTATATTTATTATGATTATCATGAAAGTGTTAAAGCCATGCTTCGGCACGGATGGGCCGCTCGAGCGGAGTGATACAACGGCTTCACTGGAAACTTTGCGTTTTGTTTCGCCGTGTGAGTGAGGTTACTGGGAGGCCCAATTCCACTTCTTCCCAATCTAGCTTGTAAATGTGGGAAAGCCTTGCTTCCGCACGAATGGGCCGGTTCGACCGGAGTTATACCACGGCCGAGCAGAAAACCAACGTGAAGCAACGCTTGTGTTGTGTTTCGTCGTGTGAGTGAGGAGTTACCGGATACCAAGATGGTATCCCCAATCCCTGAATCCCCCACAATCCTCAAATTTCCAATTCCCAAAAGGCCGATATCGCATTTGTTACGCCTCCGGTGTTCCAGGTATCCATGGGCGACGCCGACTGTTTACCATCAGGTGATACGTCTGCTCGTTTTCCAGTTTATCCCATAAATTGACGCCGCACATAGATACCCGGAACACAAGAGGAGTAACAAGAGCGTTGCCGGCCTTTTGGGTATGGGGGAGAAGTTGGGCCTCCGGTAACCTCACTGACACGCGACGAAATACAACGCAAGCGTTGTGTCACGTCGGTTTTCCGTGAGACCGTGGTATCACTCCAGTCGAGCCGGCCCATTCGTGCAGCAAGGCTCTCACACACTTCATTCACAAATGGATTTTGTTCTGCTTGTCCCAGTGTCGCTACACGGAATAAAAAACCAGTTTTAAACAATAACGGTTTGGAAATCATCTACTAAATTCTTAAAAGCCAGTTTTTAGCTGGTTGTGTCAGTTTTTATTTTGTAGATAATACAAAATATTGTTGCGAGCGTGATTCTACACGTGATCAGTAATAAAATTTTCTTACCGCATTTTTAGCCATGGTCGTTGCACTGCAGGGCTTTCTTCAAAAAAAAAGTAGAACTTCTGTAAAGCTTTCTGTGGCCAATCCTTTTCCTAGGCGGCAAGTTCATCGCGACACGATCTCCGGCCACCGTAAGCACGGGCCTGCGGACGGCGAGCACGGGTGACTCGCCGCCCGACCAAAACCAGGCCCGAGCGTACGGCGCGTCGCGTTTCGCGCGCGCCTCAAGGAGCCATCAGACCACCACAGATGGGGCCTAACAGGGCTGATGCCGATACGGAGCCGCGGAAGACTTAACGGGTTGCCGGGGCTCCGGCTCGAACTGCAGGAGTAGGAACGGGGTGGTTTTTAGTCAGTAAGAGTCTAACACTCCCTCCCGCCTCACCCGGGCGGGAGAAGTCAATAGATGATTTTCCCCCTCAAAAAAAAGGCGGCAAGTTCATCCCGCTATCTCCTTCTGGCCGTACCGCGACGTCTATTGACTTTGAGTGGACTCCACTTAGTAGTAAGTTATGCCCACCGCTCGTCTGACATGCGGCTGACCAGACCATCTCAGTTCCATTTTAAGCTTGCGGCTTCATTACAAAAAAGTTACCTATAATAAAAAATACTATTTCGTTTTTCTTCTCATGGGAAAAAAATGGCCTATGTTTTGTTTCAGTCCTTAATCTACCCCATCTATCAGTAAGAGTGTGGCGACGCATGCCACATGTCAACGGATGACGTCACAAGAATCCTACATCGCACATGCAAAGTTTACAAGCGAATAAACACGGATAGAAAATCCCAACGAACAACTGTTAGGCAGAAAGCCCGCCAGGCACGATCACCTCGCCTGGTCGGAGGATCCTCCTTTTCCGATCTTAGGGAACTATACTCTCTGTTCCCTAAAAGAGTCTGACACTCCCTCCCTCCTCACCCAGGCGGGAGCAGACATTCGATGATTTCCCCCCCTTAAAAAAACCCATTTTAAAATCGTGTACTTGCCAACTAGTCAAATTCAATACTTATTTTGAACTGTCAAAAACGACAGTTTTCTTTGAATTTTGTACGAGATTGTATATTGTGACGTCACGATTGCTAAGTGTCAGAGAGCATAGGTACTTATTTCTTAAAAATTTGCTGGAACGATACTAAAATTAAGTTGAGCTAAAAATCAATGAATGAAAGTGTGAAAAAGATTTGAGCCCTAGTATTTTAAGACGTCACGGAGAACCTAACGGGTTACCGGGGCTCCGGCTCGACGTGCAGGAGAAGGAACGGGGTGGTTTTTAGTCAGTAAGAGTCTGACACTTCCTTCCACCTCACCCAGGCGGGAGAAGTAATTCGATGATTTTCCCCTGCTTTTCCTTTTATTTTTTGTTTACCTTCGCTTTTCATATTAATGTAGGTATTATTATTTTTATAGTTGTTAAGTTTATGTGTGTTCTGCGCAGAGATAAATGATTTTTCTTTCTTTTTTTTTATATTTGATGGGCCGACGTAAGCGATGATGCGGCCTACGATGGAGCCCTTCAATATACAAGGTGTAGTTTTGAAACCGTGTCATTTCTCGGGGGCATGTCACAGAAGTCATAAAGGAATGGTTAAAAATACGGCTATAATAAATCGTTTAAGTTCGACAGTATTTCAGAATAAGCGACAGCAATGTTTCTTATTGGAGTTTTATGGAATTAGGAATAATACCAATTACGTGTTTGAGTTTGTGTGTTAAGCCGCGTTATAGAGCTAGTTACAAGTCGGCAGCGTGTACTTCGCACTTACGGATTTCCGTAATTTCAGAAAAATGAAAAATATTTACCTACAATTTTTTTATTGATTCTGACTCAGAATCGATAGCCAAGTTACCTCCTAGAAAATGACGCGGCTTTAAAACAACACCTTGTAGATATATTTATTTATTTTTATTTTATTTAAAAAAAAAACGTTGCCCCACACCAGGATTGTCTCCTGTGTCGTGGGTGCGTTTACAAACATACAAGTTCACATACACAATGACACCCAGACCCGAAACAACAATTTGTGGATCACACAAAGTGTTGTTCCGTGCGGGAATCGAACCCGCGACACGTTGCACGGCAGCCGGTTGCCCAGCCACCGCACCAACCGTGCAGTCACATATATCAAAAACTTTTTATTACAATTTTGGTCGTGGTTGTTGCGGGTACTAAATAATATTCTCAGTAGCGATGACTACGATGACGCATGCGTGAATAGGTATTTATTATGAGTCGGGATTTCCTTTCGAATAAAATCCCCATATAGTATAGGTACGTGCATGACCTATGACTTACTATATTTTATTGGAAATATTTACAAACGCCTCTGGTGTTTCAGGTGTCAATGGTTGACGCCGATTGCTTACCATCAGGTGATCCGTCTGCTCGTTTACAGGCTTATGCCATAAAAAATGCATTTAACACAAACTTTCACATAATAATATTATAATACTATCATCAACAGCCTATAAATGCCTACTGCTGAACAAAGCCTCTTCTCACACGAAGAAGGTTTGATGAAGGCATTAATTACCATGCTGAACTTATAATTAGAAATTACTTACTTGTAATTAGAAATTATAAGCCCAGGTTTCCTCACGATGTTTTCCTTCACCGTTTGTCAGTGGTGTCTAAACAATCTTAGAAAGTTCATATAACTTGGAAAAAGTCACATTGGCATTTGCCGTTGGTAGGTTTCGATCCTGAACTCTCATGCATGAGAAGTGGGCGTCCGAAAACTACGAGCCACCACGATATAAAAATAAATATAATGATAACAATGACGTATAAAGTTATATTTTGTTTCAGCCATATCTCCTGCCGTGAGCTCGGTGGCTAGAGACAGGATCAACTCATGCAGGTAGGCTCACTTTTCAGACTATTATTTAACACCAAGGACTCTGAAAGACCACGGACGTAATGCCACTTAGAAATGTTTGAAGCACCTAGGGTTGCCACCTTTCTTTTTGGTATTTAAACTGTCAAACACCAACTATTGTTCTTTAATTGTGTCTATAAATACGGTACTCGACGAGTTAAAGTACATACGTTGACGAATATAGGTAAGAAAATAAAGTACATAGTACAAAAATGAAGTACAATTTATCCTTATTCAGTATTATATTCAAAAATATATTTATATCTTATCTTTATTTAATAGTATCTTTACTTAACAATTGCATTGAAATAACACAATTGCATCTTTACTAGAAATTGTCTAAGTGGCGCTGGGGAGTGGCGAAATCGATTCAACATAAATCGATAAGTTTACCGAAAAATACTTTAAAGTCGATTTTAATAGAAATAAAGTTTGCAAAAATAAAGTATTTTAGTGTACTTTATTATTCTTATAAAGTATAGAGTACAATTACCATAACGTACAATATTTTATTATAAAGTACGGGTGGCAACCCTAGAAGCACCTAAACATCAGTGGTGTATTCATGTGTGCGTGTACTTGCAACACCGTGATGTATCCAGTGTAATGACGGGCCATGTCACGCGACAGATGTCCTCCGTGTCAATGTGTGTGTGTTCTGCGTGTAAGTCTATAGTAGCCAGGTGCCACAGTCGTTGTTTCAAGAGACTATGTCCGGCTCTGTAATTATGCCTCCGGTAACCTCACTCACACGACAGAACACAACGCAAGCGTTGCTTCACGTCGATTTTCTGCTCGGCCGTGGTATCACTCCGGTCGTGCCGGCCCATTCGTGCCGAAGCATGGTTCTCATACATACATAACATCACGCCTTTTATCCCCGAAGGGGTAGGCAGAGGTGCACATTATGCCACTGTACAATGTAACACCCACTTTTCACTATTTATGTTATGAATCCCATGTAATAAGGGGCGAGCCTATTGCCATATACCGGGCACAATTCCAGACTCCGTGCTAGTACTGAGATTTTTTTTAAAACCCTGTAATACTTTGCCCGACCCGGGAATCGAACCCGAGACCCCTTGCCCGGCAGTCGCACTTGCGACCTCCTCTCTGCATGGTTCTCACACACTTAAAATAATGTATGTCCTGTATTATTTTCAGTTTGGACGAGTTCTCCTGTTCGGATGGGACATGCATCAACAGTGATTCAGCGTGCGACGGCGTTGTAAACTGCCCTGGTGGAGAGGATGAACAAAAATGTTTGTTTGGGTCGTGAGTACTTACTTTTTTATTCATACTAGCTTCTACCAGCGGTCCCGTGTCATTCCAGCATCTGTAGCCAAATGCCATTTAGCGCGTGTCTACATGTGGAATAGAAAACCAAATTATATGGAACTAGCTTTTACCCGCGGCTTCGCTCGCGTCACAAAAGGATGAAAGGAGCCTATGTGACATATACCAATATTCACAGCGCCATCTATACTAATAATTTCGTTTTCCCTTGGGAATATTAAATTTTTCCGGGATAAAAAGTACCCTATTATTTAATCCAGACTTCTAACTTTACGCCTGCAAAAATTCAAAGCAATCAGTTTATTAGTTACGGCGTGAAAGCGGAACAAACGAACGAACAAACAAACAAGCTCACTTTCTGATTTATAATATTAGTAAGTAAGGATTGACGTAAATTTTGACACTCACGTCAGTGTCATCCCCATAAATTTTGATTTCTACTCTCTCTGTAGACAAGCGCTAAAGTGGCGTTTGGCTAAAGGCCCAGACCATAATCTACCCCTGGTCCGTATTCCGATTCTCTAGCCGTTCTGACGTGATTAAGTAACAACAGACATAAATTTTCGCATTTACAATATTAATTGGACCTCCGGTAACCTCACTCACACGACGAAACACAACGCAAGTGTTGTTTCACGTTGATTTTCTGTGAGGCCTTGGTATCACTCCGGTCGAGCCGGCCCTTTCGTGCCGAAGCATGACGCTCACTCTCCCACACTTAATAGGGTAGATGCCTAATTTTTATTTTAATGTCCGTCTGGTAGATTATTTTAAAACATATTTTCTTACAGAAACGAATAATTTCGACGATATATTGATTTGAAATGTCGCGTGACGTCACTGCTATGTACATTTTATACGTAGAATTGACGTTTTAGCCCCAACTCCTTAACTTTGATTCGTTTTATCTAAATATTGTTTTATTATACGACAAAATAAAAAAATACGTGTCTAATAGTTTTTCATTACCTAACTTACGGACTCATTAGATTTTTAATTTTCATACTCTGTCATCATTATGTATATAGACATACATAGTTCTTCACATAGATTTGTATACTTTGTATGACAAATGTAAAAGAAAATATTTATTTGTAAACATAGGAACAAAGGGATGTTACATTTCATGGTATAATATTGTCCATCTATGTTTTGTGATAAATTACATACAAATTAAAAATTGAGAGTTTGAGTAATTAATAACGTCAATAATATTAATTGCATTCACATTAATTAATCCGAATGTATATAAAAAAATATAAATAATGTCATTGATGACAATATCTATATCTATATATGTATATAAAAGAAAGTCGTGTTAGTTACACCATTTATAACTCAAGAATGGCAGAATAGATTTGGCTGAAAATTGGTAGGGAGGTAGCTTAGAGCCAGGAGACCGACATAGGATACTTTTTAATGAAATTTTTTTTTTTACCGAAAATCACGAACGGGGACGGGAAAAAATGGGATTATGCGTACGAAGTCGCGGGCAGAAGGTAGTTAAATAATAATTATTAGTGGATGTCAAGATGAACGTGAAACAATAGAGTTTTGTTTAAGACACATGGATCTAGTCATTAGGTACAATATACTAAAAATTTTACTGATAATAAATTTGTATTTTTCTTATTTTCAGACCCGTTTTGTCGGATGATCTAGTTCTACATAGATCTAGAAGGCAGGCTAGTGGTTGCCGGTAAGTGTAATAATAATTTGTTTATATACAACTTAATATAAAGTGATAAAATAGTCATAATCCCCGTAGAAGAAGGCTTAAGTCACTCACTCCGGAAGAATTAACCTACTCGTGGCGAAGCATATCGCTCACACATGACATGAATAATGTCGGTTGCTTTAAACAATATCAGAAGTACAGAAAAATGTAACTCGTTGAGTACCGTCATTATAGACACAATTAAAGAACAATAGGTTGCGGTCACCGGTGTCCTCGCGGTGTTTGACAGTTTAAATTTTTATTTAACTTGCAATGTATGTGTATGTGTGTATGTGTATGTGTGTGTGTGTGTGTGTGTGTGTGTGTGTGTGTGTAGTGGAATCTTGCCACAAAATTTTGAAGCAGATATCTTTCTCTTCAATACAATAACTGCACGGTTGGTGAGGTGGCTGGGGCTCCGGCTGGCGTGCAGCGTGTCGCGCGTTCGATTCCCGCATGGAACAACAATTTGTGTGATGTACTGTTGTTCCGGGTCTGGGTGTCATGTGTATGTGAACTTGTATGTTTGAAAACGCACACACGACACAGGAGAAAATCCTAGTGTAGGGTATGGTTCATTTAAAAAAAAAATATTTAGAAATAATCACACTATTATTAATTTATTTTATGACCAACTTAATTTTAGTATTCTTCCAGCAATTTTTTAAGAAATAAGTATGCTGTTTGACGCTCAAAAACGTGACGTCACAATACACAATCTCGTACATAATTCATAGAAAACTCTCGTTTTTGACAGTTCGAAAAAAGTATTGAATCTGACTAGTTGCCAAGTACCGTAATTCCCTTAATGACATTTCATTTCTATTGGTTTAACGTCCAACTGTCATATTAAAGCGCCCTTTGCATCTTTGATCCTTAATTGTATACACGTTTAGTTCGCATGACCATAGATACATAATAAAGGTGAATAAATACTTGTGTTTTTTTTAAATATTATTTTTTTTTCAGTAAGGATCAATGGAGATGCAGAGATGGATCTTGCATCTCATTCGATGGGATGTGTGATGGGGTGGTGGACTGTCAAGATGGCAGCGATGAGACTCACGCCCTCTGCCGAAAAACTAAGTAAGTTTTAATTTCATCAAGAAAGAAAGAAAGAAAGAAAGAAAAATAATTTATTCGCCACCGACATGGACCACCGAATAACACACAAAATAATAACAAAATAACATTGAAAAACAAAAAAAAAATAAAAATAAAATAAAATAAAAAACAATAAGAACAATCAACAGCCTCTTCAGCAAAGGCCTCTTCTCACGGAGAAGGTTTGAGTGTTAATCACCACGCGCAAGCCTCAATGCGGGTTGGCGATTACAAACTTATAATTAGAAATTATATGCTCAGGTTTCTTCACGATTTGTCGCCGCTGCGACCACGCACGCTGCTCATGAGGAACAACCCCTCTGTGGTTCGAAACTAGCAGAGCTTTTCTCAGTATATTCACGCGAATAACCCGCGATTTGTAATTGAACCAATTTGATTTTTACAGATGCCAACCGAATTGGTTCCGATGTACGTATGGTGCGTGCGTGGATGGTACAGCTCCGTGCAACAAACAGGTGGATTGCGCTGACCAGTCTGATGAACTCTTGCCAAGGTGCAGGAATGAAACTGATGAGACGAGGTAATAGCTTAGTACTTGTTTACATAGCCTACATAACCTAGTCGCGGAGAACGTAACGGGTAACCGGGGCTCCGGCTCGACGTGCAGGAGTAGGAACGGGGTGGTTTTTAGTCAGTAAGAGTCTGACACTCCCTCCCGTCTCACCCAGGCGGGAGCAGTCATTCGATGATTTTCCCCCCTTAAAAAAAGCCTAAATAACCTCATGCTAGTTTCCCATGAGGGTAGGCAGAGACTATGGAACGCCAATTAACTATGATTCCTACATACCTCTTTCGCTTCATCAACAGTCATCTGTGTTTTCATGCATGCTTGTCGGTTAAGGGTACTTTTAATTTGGCCCTTCTTTAATACGTTGTGGTCTATCGTATCGAAAATTTTGTTCATCGTCTTTAAACATCAGAATTAAGGTCTATAATGGAGTCAGTAGAGAGCGGTTACTGGTGACTGCTTGGGGATTGAACAGTTAACCCTTTGAGTACCGTCATTATAGACCCCTCGAGCGTCCTTATGAGCACCATCCTTATCCTTACTAATATTATAAATCGGAAAGTGACTTTGTTTGTTTGTTCCGCTTTCACGCCGTAACTACTAAACTAATTGCTTTGAATTTTTGCAGATGTAAAGTTAGAAGTCTGGATTAAATAAAAGGGTACTTTTTATCCCGGAAAAATTTGATATTCTCGAGGGAAAACGTAATTATTGGTATAGATGGCGCTGTGTGTATTGGACTGGTATATGTCATATAGGCTACTTTTTATCCTTTTGTAAAAGCTAGTAAGAAATAAATGGTGGATCATAAGAAAAAATGCTCCAAATGTCACGTGTGCACCCGTTGGCACCGGTTTCCTCGCGGTGTTTGACAGTTTAATATAACTATTGCCGATCTGGTCGATATCTGTGCGTCCAAGGCGCCCTTTACCGACGCGACGGTCCCATTCATATCCGCTCTGTATACTTCTTTCGTTATTCTTCTTTCATCCATCCTTTCTACATGTCCAAACCATCATAACATTATCTTTTTTTATAGCATAATCCGGTAAATGAGCAGACGGATAACTTGATGGTAAGCAATCGGCGTCGCCCTTGGTTACACAAATACAAGTGCGTTACCGGCTTTTTGGGGGATTTGAGTGATTGACAGTGATTGCAGAGATTGGGGAAGGGGGGGAGTGGTTATAATTGGGCCTCCGGTAACCTAACTCACGCGACGTTAAGCAACGCAAGCGTTGCTTAACGTCGGTTTTCTGTGAGACCGTGGTATCACTCCATGAAGGCAGATCGATCTATATTTGGTACTAGCGACCCGCCCCGGCTTAGCACGGGTGCAATATGCATGTATTATACATATAAACCTTACTTAAGAATCACTCTATCTATTAAAAAAACCACACCAAAATCCGTTGCGTAGCTTTAAAGATCTAAGCATACATAGGGACAGACAGACGGCGGATAGCGACTTTGTTTTATACTATGTAGTGATACACTCTTACTCTTGATGACTTTACAATACAATATAATCTAATTTGTTCCACAACTACCTCCATAATGGATATCAAACGAAAGGGTTTGATTTGTAGAATAAAGCTCTTTAAACCGTTCAATGTAAACTCCACTGTAATAACATCTTTATTTCTATCTACACAGAGGTCAATTTCGCTGTCTAAGTGGCCAGACCATTCCATCATCAAGCCACTGCGATGGCATATCGGATTGTCCGGATGGATCAGATGAGACAATTCGCGCATGCGCGGCAAAGACGTGCCCTTCGTACTTGTTTCAATGCGCATACGGCGCTTGTGTCGATCAGGGAGCTGATTGTAATGGGGTAAGTTCAGTCTGTGTACATACGTTTATGTAAAACTTAATAATTAACAATAAATATTTATTTTAAAACAGATTCTATAAGAATGCCTCGTTGGCCGAGTGGTCGCAAGTGCGATTGCCGGCCAAGGGGTCTCGGGTTCGATTCCCGGGTCGGGCAAAGTATTACTGGGTTTTTAAAAAAAATCTCAATAGTAGCACGGAGTTTGGAAATGTGCCTGGTATATGGCAATAGGCTCACCTCCTATTATATGGGACTCATAACATAACTAGTGAAAAGTGGGTGTTACTTCTTTGTGCACCTCTGCCTACCCCCTCGGGGATAAAAGGCGTGATGTTATGTTATGTTATGTTATTCTATAAGAAAACAGCGTAATACTCGCCATCTTGCCAACCCGAATGGACGTTACATCTCTTTGCGCGGGAAACTTTACTAATCTGTCACATTTGACAGATGACATAATCAGCATGACAGCTAGTACTGGCGGCAATAAAGATTAAACTAGTGCCTTTCATTTTGTTGATTATTGTCGGCTAACAATACATAGAAACATAAAAACTGAAGTGTTTGTTTGTTTGTTTGAAAGCGCTTATTTCAGGAACTACAGCAGCTGTAGCCAAATGCCATTTAGCGCATGTCTACATGTAGAATAAAAAACCAAATTATATGGGATTGACGTAAATTTTGACACTTGTCAGTGTCATCCCCATACATTTAGTTTTCTACTCTCTCTGTAGACAAGCGCTAAAGTGGCGTTTGGCTAAAGGCTCTGGTTCGAATGAAATAGTAGGGTAGATAACTATTTTTTATGGCCGTCTGGTAGATTATTTAAAAACATTACACACGTATTTTTTATTTTCTTTCGGAAACGAATAGTTTCGAAGATATATTGATTTGAAATATCGCATGACGTCACTTTTGAGTACGATTTATACTTTAAAATGACGTAGCTACCTCCCACTCCTAAACTTTGATTCGTTTTATCTAAGTATTGTTTTATTATACGACAAAATAAAAAAATACGTGTCTAATATTTTTTCATTACCTAACTGACGGACTAATTAGATTTTTAATTGCCATACCCCGTCATCATTCCTATTCTTTATATATCGGATAATTCATTTATCAAAAAAAGTTATAGGTAAGCTATAAAATATCACGCTTCAATCAATAGGGGTCGAGCGTATTCTACTTTGCTATCATAATAAAACTTATGTTATGTTTTAAAACTAGTAGGTTAAGTATGTTGTATAATATGTATGTATAAGTTTTTTAAATTTAAATAAGTAGGTAATTGTTTTTTAAATTTAAATAAGTAGGTAATTGTTTTTTAAATTTAAATAAGTAGGTAATTGTTTTTTAAATTTAAATAAGTAGGTAATTGTTTTTTAAATTTAAATAAGTAGGTAATTGTTTTTTAAATTTAAATAAGTAGGTAATTGTTTTTTAAATTTAAATAAGTAGGTAATTGTTTTTTTTCTTTGTTTTGTAAAATTTATTTTTTATTTGTATTTTCGATTATTGAGTTTAGTTTAGTCTTTGTTCATTTTTGTTTTTTACTTTATGATTTTGTTACATTTGGACGTAACATAGATTTAGTTTTTTAAGGCCTAGCTGTCGTAATGGAGAAACCTCTCATGATAGTTTAGGTAAAGTTTTATATATATAAATATATAAATTATATTTTTATACTATGTTCAAGTTCTTCTATTACAGATAAGAGATTGCGCTGATGGATCTGATGAAGCCGATGAGCTATGCAACAAACAACTGCCAAGCAACCCATCTGTGACTACCAGGTAAATCAAAATCATTCTTACTACTACATAACATCACGCCTATTATCCCCGAAGGGGTAGGCAGAAGTGCACACAGAAGTAACACCCACTTTTCACTATTTATGTTATGAGTCCCGTGTAATAGGGGGTGAGCCTATTGCTATACTGGGCACAATTCCAGACTCCGTGCTACTACTGAGATCTTTTTTTAAAAACCCAATAATACCCGGGAATCGAACCCAAGACCCCTTGCCCGACAGTCGCACTTGCAACCACTTGGCTAACGAGGCAGGCATCTTCCAATTATTATATCCCTAATTCCTGAAATACTAGTAACGCTCTTGTAACGTCTCTGGTGATTCGAGTGTCTATGGGCAACGCCGATTGCTTACCATCAGGTGATCTGTCAGCTCGTTTGCCGGCTTATATATAAAAACATCTTTTCATCACCGTCTTCATTCCATTCAGACAATTAAGTTTATATAGGGATTTATTTTATGTAAGTCTATACTATCCTTTTTTATGTATTTCTGTTTAGACCTAAATACGCTTGCTTCTTGCATCAACCATTGTTTTTGTCTCTGCATCACCCAAAGGTCTGCCCTAGGCATTAAGCCTTTTAAATGCATGAAGTCTTTTAAAATAAAAAAAAAACAATGTATTTATTATTTCAGGCCAATTCTGTCGGGTAAATGCGTACTGCCACCATATCCAGACCATGGCACTTATGTGGTCTCCAACGCTCCATATGCTACTCCTGGACAAGGGTTTCAAGCTCTCCAGCTCAATGTTACTTGTCGACCTGGCTATGGTGTGCTGGGAACTGATATAGTCTTCTGCCAGGATGGTACATGGTCTAATGATATCCCCAAATGTGTTCGTAAGTATGAAATTTATATACCGTTTCTTTTAAACTTTAAGGAATTCCTAAGCTAACATAGGTGACGTTTAAAGACGTATTCGTTTTCACCAAGCCAATAGTGGTAGCTAATCAAATAACGAGTTCGTTTAGGTGCTCTCTAAGTCAAAGTCAAAGTCAAAATCATTTATTTTAATTAGACCAGAAAGGCACTTTTGAACATCAACAAAAATAAATTAAAAGTGAAGCTATTTGCTCGTTCCAAAGTGTAGATTCCTATGGAGAAGAACGAGCAAGAAACTCCTTAAGTTACTCTTTTTCAATCAAGTTCACAATACAATTCTCTAGTTACATAGTTTTGTTGTTTGGGTTGTCTCTTCGTTAAGAGATGGTTTAGGAGTAGTTGGTGTAAACGGCTATTAGTGTTTTTTCTCTGATTTATCTTAAGCTTTTGATCAAAAGTGATTAGGTTGAGATATTTTGTAATTGAGTAAAATGAAGTTGGTTTCTTTGTTTTTTTATATATATATATATATATTATGTAAATACTTAAAATATTGATGAATAGTGATTTTATATTAGTAAACGCGTTTTTCTTTAAGAATTGGACGCTAATTCTATGGTGTTCCGCAAGGAGCTACAATAGGTCCAACTCAATTTTAAAGAAAATTGTAATACAATTGAATGTATGTATGTGTATGTGTGTGAAGTGGATTCTTACAACTAAATTTTCAAGCAGATATCTTCAACTGATTAAAATTTGTATATGTGTTGAGTTTGTATGACCATAAATACTGAAAGCTTGTTTTCAATAAGATTTACATTTAAATTTATATTTGTTTAAGGTTTCTGCAAACTGGACCCACATCCATCAGTGCACTATCACTGCTTAGTCTCAGGCAGCATCGAAGGTCAACGAAAGTGCAATACCTACGAACCAACGGGAACAGTGATCAGACCAGAATGCAACAGCCCAAACTACTATTCATCAGGAATCCTACCATTCATGAGATGCATCGACGGCAGCTGGGACTACGTAGCTGTTTGCACGCCAGGTTTGCCCAAAAACGGAAAAAATATTACCATACTTATAAAAGATACTATTGAGGTGTACGTCCATGATTTTGTTTATACCAGTGGGCAGGGTTACCAGTCCAATAATGTTACTGTCGATGTTGTTACTCAAAAAGATGTAAATCATATTAATGAGGTAGACAGTACTGCTAACCCTATGGATTATGAGATTAGTGAAGATGACTGGCGCATGGGAGCCCCGCAAAAGCCTCAGACTGAACAGAAAAATACAGGATTTAATGTAAACATCTATAATAGTAGTATCGTTGTTAATTCTAATTACAAAGACAAGGCTTAATGTTCCGGTTGCAAATACGGCCGTTTACACCAAGCTCTCTTATGTTTTAACCTGTTGAAATATGTATCATCCCATAAATTTGTACATACAAAAGTATGTTTTTATAATAACTATCGTGAGACATACTAAATTAACTAAAAATCGCGGGTTACTCAAGTAAATATACTGAGAATAGCTCTACTAGTTTCGAACCACAGAGGAGTTCTTCCTCATGAGCAGCGTGCTCTGTCGCGGCGATGTCGCACAACCTACTGGCTAGCGTTGGCGCTCGCATCGGTGTTGCTACTTGCGTTGCGAGCCCAACGCGCTCTCTGACGGACACCACGAGCGCTTGCTTCCAACTCCGGCGGCGCGTTGGACGATGTACGTTCACCAGCGTGGCGGGTAGTTAATAACTAGTGGGGTAATAAGTAGAGTTTTTCTCAGTATATTCACGTGAGTAACCCGCGATTTTTAGTTAACATACAAAAGTAGTCCCTAAACATCGGAAATAAGATCTATAATGTAGTTAGTGGAGAGCAGTTACCGGTGACCGCTTGGGGATATATGGGAAACCGTGATATAGAACGGAGATACACGAGATGTTGTGTTTTCTATTATATACCTATCGGCATACAAGAGGTTAAAGAATCCTTTACCTAAAGTAAGTGACACTTGACGACTATTCACTAACGTATAAGTGAAGCCTAAGGGGTTAGTTTAGGTCCTCCCTCCTGTTAAGTAACTCTTAGTGAAAGCGTGCTTGGTGAAAATTGGCATTAGGACTAATTTGACATTCTCAACAATATAGGTAAGTAAGTTCCTGAATAATTTTAACTGATAGGTAACTGAAGCATAGCATGACGTCACATATTAAAATGTGTTAAGTATCTATTATTGTCAGTTAAGTTTGTGTTATGAGTACAATGCGGGCTCGCTAGATGTCGCTAAAGTAGGATTAGGTATTGGTTATTATGTTACGATATATTATATTAGACCAGTGCCTTTAGCCAAACGCCACTTTAGCGCATGTCTACATGTAGAATAGAAAATCAATGCCATATACCGGGCACATTTCCAGACTCCGTGCTACTACTGAGATTTTTAAAAACTCAGTAATACTTTGCCCGACCCGGGAATCGAACCCGACTAGGGGCAATCAAGTTGTACAATAATATTTGAAGGTCCTATTATGTTAACTATTTACTTAAAACATATTATATTTTATAATACTGACATACTGAGATTATGACAATAAAGGTAACCAAAGAGACTACGTATTTTTTACAAATAAATAGATTTAGACAGACTTGAACTTTAACCAACCGCTTCTAACTATTTCCATAGCTGGGCACAGTTAATCAAATAGTTAACTCCGTTAATCGTTAATCCGCTACATAAAAAGTTAGCTTCGTTAAACGTTAAAGCGTTAAATTTCGGAAGAATTAACGTTAGTTAACGTTAATCGTTAATCCGTTAATATGTGTAAAGTTACATTTTTATATCGTTCGTGAACTTAAAAAACTAAAAAAATATTCTTTGCAGTTTTCTCACTCGCACGCGCCAGCCAAGTATATCTAGTTTTGTTTTGGTTTCACGCGCTGCTACACGTCGCCCAGCACTTGTTTCCGGCATTTCATACTTGTCTGAACCTGTTTTTCGCGCCGCGCCGCGGTGCTATGCGGTAGATAGTAGGCATTGGTCCGTTAACATTTTTTAAAGTTAACTTAAAAGTTAATCCGTTAATCAAAATGTTAACTACGTTAATTAACGATTAAAGGATTAACGAGTTAATGCCCAGCTATGGTTATTTCAGACCTCTTTTTTGACCCTTTTTGACTTTTTTTGGAAAAATACTTTATGTATCATCCTCCCGTGGGGGGACGGGAGGGATATGTGCGACTCTCTGGGAGAAACTACCCACTAAAAACCCAGGAGCACACCAGCGTCGCCATGTGAAGGGGTCTGGGAGATCGGTTGAACCTTTATGACCAGGACTCCCTCGGCTAAGCCTACCAGTGATGGTGGGCCACATCACAATGTTATTTCAGACCTAACCTAACTATCAAATTTCGTTAAAATCTGCTCAGTAGTTTTCGTTTGAAATGGGTACCTAATATATACCTACATTCTTACAATCTTTCACTTCTCCTCCCATCATATTTCCATTTAGTTTTACTAGAATAGGGTTTAGTTAAAAAAACTACATAGTACATATCACAGTATACGATAAAACATAATTATCTAATAGTTTTAAATGTATTATTTTATAAAGATGTAGGCCAATTACCCTCCCGTTCCTCAATCTCCCCAATCCCTGAATCCACAACGATCCTCAAACTCCTAATTCCCAAAAAGCCGGTAACGCACTGTAACGCCTCTGGTGTTCCAGGTGTCCATGGGCGACGCCGATTGCTTACCATCAGGTGATCCGTCTGCTCGTTTACCGGCTTATGCCATAAAAAAAGTTCGTTTAAGAACCATTACGCATTATCGATATGTCGGCTTCTCAATTCCTTTTTTCAATGCCAGATACATTTTAACTGAGGAATAACCACTGGAATAACTTTGAATATTTGACAATTCTTCCATACTGAAACATGTCAAATGTCAATTTATTTCTACAGTTAGGAATTGATGATTGAACTGATGATTAAAAAATCGTCTCTTTGTTATTTATTTATTTACACAAAAACACGTATAATACGGTAGTTGGTACCAGAGGTACGCGTTTCTTTTTCATTTAAAAGTAATCGAAACGAGACGGCGTTCTGTGCTCTGATTGGCCGGCTCTAATGAACCAACCAATCAGAGCACAGAACGCCGTCTCGTTTTGATTATTTTAAACGAAAAAGAAACTCGTGCTAAGGCCTCTGATTGGTTGGTTCATTAGAGCCGACCAATTAAAACGCAGAACGCGCACTCGTTACGATTAGGTACTTTAAACGAAAAAAAAACTCGTGCTAAGGCCTAGGTATTCAAACTCAATACTTTTATTGAAATGTCAAAAACGATACTTTTCTATGAATTTTGTATTGGATCGCAACTTATGACGTCATCATATTTCTGCGTCAAACAGCATAGTTATTTCCTTAAAATTAGGTAAATTGTCAAATCAATAGACGAGAGTATGATTATTTTTTAATTATTTATTGTATTAAAAAGTTGAAACAATTTATTTTAAACCTAGGAAACTGGTCAATTTTAGAGCTTATGCAATATACATTATAGGGTTTAAAATTGAGTATAAGCAACTAGATCCAGTTGCTTGCAAGGTTAATACCTTAATTTGAATCTATGCGCCTATTGGCCGCGATTGCGCATAGTCGCTGTCACTAGCGACAAGTCGACAGTGTGTAATAAGCCTTACAAATATTTTATAGTCTGTCAAGCGATTCTAGTCCCATGAAAAAGGCGGCAAATTCAAAAATCTTTCAGGTGTTACCACTGATAAAGCACGCTGAAAACTTATTGATTGTTTTTTTATTTATTTCAAATATGTTTTTTTTATCAAAAATTCAAGTATCAATAAGTGTTGACACCTGAAAGATTTTTGAATTTGCCGCCTTTTTCATGGGACTAGAATCGCTTGACAGACTCTATACAATACCCGGCAATAAATATTGCATAACGACTTTAGAAAAGAGACAATTTTGTTGGATTTTGCTATTATTTGTACAAAAATTGTTTCTTAACATTTTTTTTATGTGCAAAGTCGGTTAATGTGCAGACGGATCACCTAATAGAACACCAGAGACGTTATAAGCGCGTTGTCGGTGTTTTGAGAATTATGAATTTGATGATTACTGAGGATTGGAGAAGTTTGCTCGATTATTGTTAGTTTTACATAATCATGAGCAGTCTACACATTGGCTTAGTCGATTGTCTCTTTCCAAAGGTTAATGTTCAATATTTATCGCGTGCCACTGTAATTAGATTTAGCACTTGCCTAAGGCTTATTGTCCACGACACGTCATTTGACGCATGCATGCAACCTACAAATGATGATAAGTGGATTTTTATGAGGAATGACTTAGGGTGCGTCCACACCTGGCGAATGCGCAGCTCGCGAACCGCTCGTGGGCCGCTCGTGAGCTGCGCACGTGCATTTTTGTTTGTGCGCAGCACAGGTACCGCTACCGCGCCTTATACGAGCCTTGCATGAGTTGAGCTAAAGAGGCGCATCAATCTATTGCCGTAATTGTACGCGCGCTGGTCGCTAACGGTTCGCATGCGGCTCGCGAGCTTGTGGACGCACCCTTATGTTAACACTCCATAGACATAGTTCAATTGTTTCTATACACGACAATTGCAATCGTCAATTGGGATGATGACAGGGTATGAAAATTAAAAATCTAATTAGTCCGTAAGTTAGGTAATGAAAAAATATTAGACACGGATTTTTTTATTTTGTCGTTTAATAAAACAATACTTAGATAAAACGAATCAAAGTTTTGGAGTGGGGGTTAAAACGTCATTTCTACGTATAAAATTTAATAAGTGTGGGAGAGGCATGCTTCGTCAGGAATGAGCCGGCTCGACCGGAGTGATACCACGGCCTCACAGAAAACCAACGTGAAGCAACGCGTGCGTTGTGTTTCGTCGTGTGAGTGAGGTTACCGGAGGCCTAATTACCCTCCCTTTCCCCAATCTCCCCAATTCCTGAATCCCCAACGATCCTCCAACTCCTAATCCCCAAAAGGTCGGTATTGCACTTGTAATGCCTTTGGTGTTCCAGGTGTCCATGGGCGACGCCGATTGCTTACCATCAGGTGATCCGTCTGCTCGTTTACCGGCTTATGCCATAAAAAAAGTATTCGTTTCTGTAAGAAAATAAAAAATACGTGTCTAATGATTTAAAATAATCTACCAGACGGGGATTAAAATAAAAATTAGGCATCTACCCTATTGACGAAAGCGTGCGTTTAAAGCGCGGTAACGTGGACAATATGCCTAAATGTTAAGAGGATGGAATTGACAAAATTTTGTAAACAAAATGATTCTTTGCAATAAATTAAATTTCAATTTAACTGTAATAATGTTGTTTAATTTTTTAATCCTGTATCCACCATCCTTTTAACATTAGAACGTGTGTGGCACACATGTTATATTTAACACCTACATTGCGCTAGTTATGTTATGGGGTCCCCTATGATAAGGATAATGATGATAAAATTAAAATTCTAATTAGTCCGTCAGTTAGATAATAAAACAATATCAGAGACGTATTTTTTGTCATATAAGAAAACGTGTCTGCCTCGTTGACTCAACCACTGGGGTTGCACGTGCTACTGCCGGGGCAAAATGTGTCGGGTTCAATTCCCGGGTCGAGCAAAATATTACTAGGTTTAAAAAAGATATCAGTAGTAGCACGGAGTCTGGAAATGTGCCCGGTATATTGCAATAGGCTCACCCCCTATTACATGGGACTCATAACATAAATAGTGAAAAGTATGTGTTACATTGTACAGTGGCATTAAGTACCGTAGATGATGTTAAGAAAACAATACTTTGATAAACACGAATCAAAGTTAAGTATAGTTTTGTATAAAACGTGCATAGAAATGACGTCAAGCGACATTTCAAATCAATATATCGTCAAAAGTATTTGTATCAGTAAGAAAATAAAAAATACGTGTCTAATGTTTGAAAATAATCTACCAGATGGACATTAAAATAAAAATTAGGCATCTACCTTATATTTTTTACATCTAGACTTTGTGTCAGTCTATAAAGGAATTTTTGAAAATCAAAAATCCTCGTTAATACTTTGGGAATCAGGGCCGAGACCTCTTGCTCGACCAGGGACCTTATTTTTTAATCGAATTCCGATTATCGACATTGATAAGGTATTGTGAAATTTTGTACCATTGAATTGCAACACTAGCGCTCATTGTACTTGTATTGCATGGATTTTGGCTCGGCTTTATATCGCATACTCAGAACAGGCGCTTTTGCCATACCTATTATTAACATAGCAACATTAGCAAGTATAACAGCTCACACATAGGACCCACTTAGTTTTTTAGTCAAAATTCCGTAGCGCTTGGCGACTGGGCTTCACCCAGTTGTACAGTCTCTTCTTTGTGCCTTTAGGCTTAATTCATTCTGTCTCCTGCAGTAATTCACCGAGGGAAGTGGAAACTATAGTTTTTTCTTCTTCTACTCTTATAATATCTTCTGATTCACTTTGTTGCGGGAACCAAGACAGTTATCCATGTCCCTGGGACGCGCCGGACTTCAATGTTCCGGTGTTTTCATGGTTGTATCTACTGTAGATCCTGACTTACCGGAGTTGCAGCGGTTTTGGGAGGTTGTGGCGGGCTTGTCCCAACAAAATTATAAAAAATACTCAGAACACATCTGAAACAAGAGAAACAAGTGAATTTATCTGCAAATAGGCTACAAGCACTTTTACACGTCAATTTTATCAAGCGAACGATAAGAATGACATACGATGAGGAAAAACATCAAGGAAATGTCAATTTGTAATATCAAATTTTATAAGTTTGAAATCGCCAACCCGCATTGAACAAGCGTGGTGATTAATGCTCAAACCTTCTCCGTGTGATAAGAGGCTAATGCTCAGTAGTGGGCACTTAAAAGCTGGGCACTGATAATGTACGGTCAAAGGTCAAAAGTCCACTGCCACCGTAATCGACTACTATTGGTTGCGCTGAAGCGCTTATACACACATGCACAAGCATTTTTTTATCCGTGTGCGTACGCGTGCGTGTGTTTACGCATAAACGCACGCGTTTTTATGCACATTAATATGAAATTACTTACGCATTGCCGTGTGAACATCACTCACGGTGGCAGTGCACGTAGCAGTGGCAGTAGACAATTAGTCATTGATAATGTAAACAGCGCTCTCTCGGAGATAGTACATTGGTTTAGTGCCAACAATCTACTACTAAATGAAACTAAAACTAAATGCATTAAATTTACAACGCCAAATGTTAGACATGTAAAGACCAGCGTGTTAATTAAGGGTGATGAGTTGGGCCCTGTAGATTCTGCTGTCTTTTTAGGTATAACCCTAGACGCTAAGCTCCAGTGGGCTCCACATATAGATAAGTTATCGAAAAGGCTCAGTTCTGCAGCATATGCCGTTAAAAAAATTAGAAATTTAACCGATGTAGATACAGCGCGATTAGTATACTTTAGTTATTTTCATAGTGTTATGTCATACGGTATTCTCCTATGGGGGAATGCTGCTGACATTCAATCTATCTTTGTTTTGCAGAAGAGGGCCATTCGATCAATTTATAATCTTAGTCCGAGGTACTCTCTCAGGGAACTATTTAAAGAAATTAATGTAATGACTGTTGCCTCTCAATACATTTATGAAAATGTAGTATATGCTCATAAAACAAAAGTTTATTTAAAAAGCATAGTGATATACATAATATCAACACGAGAAATAAAGACAAATATGTTGTTCCCACTACTAGACTAAAGAAAATAAGTGGTTCGTTTAGATGTCAGAGTATACGCTTTTACAATAAAATTCCCAGCCATATCCAAAATTTGAGTCTAAATAAATTTAAAAATGTCATTAAAGATAAACTTTTTAGTAAAGCTTTTTATAAAATAAAAGACTACCTAGATGATAGTCTGGCTTGGGAATAAGCCGCTGTAACGTCCACACAGGTCATGTTGACATGTTTGTAACATATAGTTACATTTCTTTTTATATGCAATTTGACATTATTAGCATAATGTGATATTGTTTTTCATTTGAAAAATTTATATTTTTTTTTAAACTTGACATTTACCTCTATTTTTTACAATTGTTAGTGCTAGGACCGTGCGAGACTTTGCCTCGCTATTTCTTTTCTTATTTCTTACTCATACTCTGACAGTTTGAGTATTTGTGCGACCCACGCAAATGTTCTTTAGGTTGGTATTGTTCGTCGAATCACTCAGCCTCATCTGTTAATTGAGCTGACTGTAAACCGACACATGCGTACTACTTTCAGAACGGGTCCGCTCAAACTGTTGTGGTTCTTTCCTCAAAAGGCCACTACAGAAAGAACTTGCACGGTTCTCACACGTAATCTTTTTATACATATTTGTCTGGACTTTAAAAGAGACAGACCTCTGAGTTTGTTTCGGCATTTCTTCTCAGAGTAGTCAGTTAGGAAATGTCGACCTCATCGTTCGCTTGATAAAATTGACGTGTAAAAGTGCTGCCTTGTAGCCTATTTGCAGAAATAAATTCACTTGTTTCACTTGTTTCAGTGGACTTTTGAATGTACATATTTTTTAATTTTAGAATGTGGCCGAGTGACTCCTGAGGGAGTGGACCTCATCATCGATGGGAGAATAGCGAAGCGTGGAGAACTGCCATGGCATGTCGGCATATACAGAAAAACAACGACGCCATACATGCAGATTTGTGGAGGATCTCTTGTCACGAACAAAGTCGCTATTTCTGGTAAGTGTTCAACTAATATTTTGGTTTCTGTTTATGAAATACTAGCTGTTCCCTGCTACTTCGTCCGCGTATAATAACGACTTCTTCTTAATTAGTCTTCTCCAAGGTTAATTGCAATGCTGTGTAACAAATTTCATCAGAATCAATTTAGTTAGATTTAACGGTAAAAGAATTCTTCAAATCGGCCCTTTAGTTTCGGAGGCGATGCCATTCAAACAAACAAAACAAAAAACAAAATATCAAATCTATTATTGTAGATGTAGATTGTAGGCTACTGTATGTTAAAAACCTCTTTGTAAATACAGATAAAAAAATGGTGGGAACGTGGTGTGTTCGCGTTCGCGCTAAAATTCAAAAATCGAAACCTCGCCCATGTTTCGCTCGGGCGGGCTCCGCGCCCGAGCCAACAGTCAGTCAGTCGCCGCCGAAACGTTTAGAGAGTGGGCGTGTATACAAAACGCTCCGCGTTCCCGCCAATTTTCTCAGTTTCTCGAATTCATTATGAACAATATCCAGCCCGTATTTGCCAATTATGTAATTTCTTTCTTAATTGAATTTCTTTCTTAAGTGAATTTCTTTCTTAATTGGATTTTTATACTAATATAAAGAGATTGAGAAGAATAATAATAATAATAACTACCTCGCCTGGTGGTAAGCGATGATGCAGTCTACGATGGAGCACGTCTGCCCATCTTTATATATAAAAATGAAACCCGTTTCACGTTGTCACGCCAAAACTTGTGAATGGCTAGACCGATTTGGCTGATTTTTTTGTTGTGTTTGTTATTGTTACGAGAAGGTTCTTATGATAGAAAAAAAATTCTGAAAGTCTTATGGGAACGGGGATTGCGCGTACGAAGTCGCCAGCAGAAGCTAGTAAGCAATATATTCACTCGTTTATGGTTCTTTAGGTATTTTTTAATGGGTTACACCCAATGCGTATAAGTGTGGAAGAGCCATGCTTCGGCACGAATGGGCCGGCTCGACCGGAGTGATACCACGGCCTCACAGAAAACCGACGTGAAGCAACGCTTGCGTTGTGTTTCGTCGTGTGAGTGAGGTTATCGGAAGCCCAATTACCCTCCCCTTCCCCAATCTCTGAATTGGAGATCCCTGAATAAAACTCCTAATCCCCAAAAAGCCGGTTACGCACTTGTAACGCCTCTGGTGTTCCAGGTGTCCATGGGCGACGCCGATTGCTTACCATCAGGTGATCCGTCTGCTCAATATAAAAACTTTTTAATTATTAATGTTTTTTCAACAGCTGCACATTGCTTCTGGGACGATATTAGCAAATTACAACCAGCTAGTTTGTACGCGGTTGCTATTGGGAAGATTTATCGTCCGTGGTCTAATCCAAAAGATACGGACGCTCAGAGATCTGATGTAAGTACTATAGTCAGAATTTTAATTAGATTCCAGATTTGACAATAGCTACTGTCATTTTGTGAAATAATGGTACCACATATAATAGTGTAGTGATGCACACAAAAATCGATAAACAATCAGTGTGTGTGTTTTATAATAAATGTTACAGAAAGTGACAGGATAGCGATAGCGATGACGGCGACAATTTATAAAATAACTTATTACCATAATACATCTATCTGTTTTATTTGTCATGTTCCTTCATGATTACATTTTTTTATTTATTTCACACACAATTATAAAAGAAACGTCTCAGATCGTTAATTAATCGTCAAAACTAAATTATCGGTTCAGAAATATTAATTTCCTGATATACTTAGTTCACGAGAGTAAAATTATAATTATTATAAACGAGAAGAATCGATCCAGAAATATTGTATTTCCATATCGAATAATTTCGCAACGTCACTATTTAGTACTTGTCATAACGTTGCCACACTGAAATTGTCAAATCTGGAATCGAATTACAATTCCGAGTATAAATACCAAGACCAACACCTCACTCCTCTGTGCATCTTGAGGTGGGGCCTGGCGAGGCCACCACGAGTTCGGGGGCTGCGGATGAATGTGACTCCCGCACCCTCGTACCCACGTGTGAGTCGGGACTCCGGGGTGGGTTTTAGTCAGTAAGAGTCTGACAGTCCCTTTCGTCCTCCCTAGGCAAGGGGGCTCCATGAGGATGTCCCACGTTGGGGTTACAAAAAAAAGTACTAAATACCAGTATACCCGAAGTTTTTTATTGGATATGGACTGTCTCATTGGCCGAGTCGTCGCAAGTGCGACTGCCGGGCAAGGGGTCTCGGGTTCGATTCCCGGGTCGGGCAAAGTACAACTGGGTTTAAAAAAAATCTCAGTGGTAGCACGGAGTCTGGAATTGTGTCCGGTATATGGCATTTGGCTCACCCTCTATTACATGGGACTCATAACATAAATAGTGAAAAGTGGGTGTACAGTGGCATTAAATGCCGTAATGTGTCTAACCTCTGTCTACCCCTTACGGCTATTTTCTATAGAATATCAAATCTACAGATAGATAGGTTATAGAAAATGGCCATTAGGGAATAAAAGGCGTGATCTTATGTGTGTATATTTTTTAAAACAGAAAAATTAATAGATATTTTTTTTTCATCAGGTTAAAGAAATCAAAATACCGGTTCGATTCCAAGGCAGTGCAGCGAATTTTCAAGATGACATAGCTATACTCATTCTGGAAACGGCTTTCGTCTACCAGACGTATGTGAGGCCTGTGTGTTTGGACTTCGACGTCAACTTCGACAGAAGACAACTGCAGCCGGGCAGACTTGGCAAGGTAATTTAAAATATTGATTTTGTATCATCATCATCATCATTGCCACAACCGTTATCATAATAGAAAGAAAGAATAAATGAAAGAAAGAAAGAAAGAATAAAAGGTAGAAAGAAAGAAGGAAAGATAAAAATAAAGAATGTAAGCAAGAAAGATGGAAGAAAGAAAGAAAGAAAATATTTTTTTATAAAAAAAGAAAGAAAGAAAGAATGATAGAAATAAAGAAAGAAAGCACGAAAGAAGGAAAGAAAGATAGAAAAAATTAAAGAAATAAAAAAGAAGGAAATAAAGGTAGAAATAAATAAATAAAGAAAGAAAGCAAGCAAGAAAGAAAGAATATAAGTTTTTATTATAAAAAAAGAAAGAAAGAATGATAGAAATAAAGAAAGAAAGCAAGTAAGAAAGAAAGAAAAACGCCACAACACACTTGCAGACAATAATGCAAGAACATATGAAAAGAAGTTCAGTGCGTCGCAGCGCAAAAGCCCGGAGCGCAGCTTAATACTGTGGCCTTGGCACGGAGGCTCGAGTCTATAGCGCTGATTTTCAGCACCAGCTTATTTAATACGGTTACGAAATGACTGCACTTGGTGCGTTGGCTGGGCAACCGGCTGCCGCACAACGTGTCGCGGGTGTGACACCCGCACGAAACAATTCTTTGTGTGATCCACAGATTGTTGTTCCGTGTCTGTGTGTCATGTGTATGTGAACTTGTATGTTTGTAAACGCACACACGACACAGGAGAAAAAAATATAAAAAAAAATTATAGGGCCTGCTGCACTTTCACCTACCACACATCTTCATCGTCATCTTAAACTGTCAAACACCGCGAGGACACCGGTGACCGCAACCTATTGTTCTTTAATTGTGTCTATAATGACTGTACTCCTTTGAGTTAACCCTTTGGTTAATAATAAATTATCATTATTAATCAATGTGGATTCAGCAATCATTGTGCCGATAGTCGTATCTGCCAATGACCTCATTCCTAAAAGCCTTGACCAGCAGCTTTAGCCAAATGCCATTTAGCGCTTGTCTACATGTAGAATAGAAAATCAAATTATATGGAACTAGCTACTTCCACGCGGTTTCATACGCTCTGCTCAGCTCCTATTGGTCGTAGCGTGATGTTTTATAGCTTATAGCCATCCTCGATAAATGCGCTATCTAACACAAAAAGATTTATTCAAATCAGACTTGTAGTTACGGAGATTAGCGCGTTCAAACAGACAAACAAAAAAACAAACTCTTCCGCTTTATATAACAGTATAAGGGTATAAGATTGGCGTAAATTTTCATGTCATTTGTATGTCATCCCCATACATTTTGATTTCTACTCTCTCTGTAGACAAGCGCTAAAGTGGCGTTTGGGTAAAGGCACTTAGTAGGCTAGGCGTTACATGGTTGAGTCAAGGGTCTGATGCAGAAAGCAGTACTCCTGGATACGACGCGTATTGTCTGGAGCCCTGACCGCCGGCTAGCTAGCTTGGATTCCTCCCATTAATGGTGAACTGGTGATGTTAGTCGTCCATTCCCAATAACAAAATGGAGGTATTATTTAAGTAGAAAATGAATTGTTTCAACTGTGTATTGTCTATATTTAGTCATCGTCGCAGTAGCCTTAGAGCTATTACGACTGCCAAGCAAGGGGTCTCGGGTTCGATTCCCGGGTCGGGCAAAGTATTACTAGGTTGTTTAAAAATTCTCAGTAGTAGCACGATATATGGCAATAGGCTCACCCCCTATTACATGGGACTCATAACATAAATAGTGAAAAGTGGGTGTTACATTACACATGTACAGTGGCATAATGTGCACCTCTTCCTTACTCTTCGGGGATAAAAAGGGTGATGTTATGTATGTTAAAATATTTCCAGGTAGCCGGTTGGGGTCTGACCTCAGAAAATGGACAGGCCTCGCAGATCCTGAAGGTTGTGGAGCTGCCGTACGTGGATGTAGAACAGTGCATCCGTTTATCACCTCCTGGCTTCACGGAGTACATCACCAGCGATAAAATTTGCGCAGGTTTTGGAAATGGTATGCAATTTTTTTATTATAAGACCGCTTTTATGAACGTGTCAACATATCCCTTTTATGTGTCGCGGAGAACCTAACGGGTTACCGGGGCTCCGGCTCGACGTGCAGGAGAAGGAACGGGGTGGTTTTTAGTCAGTAAGAGTCTGACACTCCCTCCCGCCTCACCCAGGCGCGAGCAGTCATTCGATGATTTTTCCCCTTTAAAAAATACCTTTTTATGTCATGGTGGCCCGGAGGTTTAAGACGGACCTCTCATGCATGAGGGTGCTACGTGCTATTGTTTTATAATAGTTTTTGAAATGTGACTTCACAGTTTAGGATCCCTCCCTCCCCCCTCGTCACACAATGTCACACGCGACCCTTAACGTGTGACGTAATCTATGGACGGCCCCTTTTTACCTCTAAAAACACAAGCGACGTCGCTGGCAGAAGATAGTGGCAAATGAATTATTTCTCTTCCTTTCTTTACTTCTTTGTTTCTTTAATCGTTTTAAGTGTAGGAGAGCCATGCTTCGGCACGAATGGGCCGGCTCGACCGGAGTGATACCACGGCCTCACAGAAAACCGACGTGAAGCAACGCTTGCGTTGTGTTTCGTCGTGTGAGTGAGGTTACCGGAGGCCCAATTACTCTCCCCTTCCCTAATCTCCCTAATTCCTGAATCTCCAACGATCCTCAAACTCCTAATCCCCAAAAGGCCGGTAACGCACTTGTAACGCCTCTGGTGTTCCAGGTGTCTATGGGCGACGCCGATTGCTTACCATCAGGTGATCCGTCTGCTCGTTTGCCGGCTTATGCAATAAAAAGAAGTGTGGGGCTTTAATTTTAACATTTTTTTTTGTTTCAGGTACGGCTTTATGCAAAGGCGACAGTGGGGGTGGACTTGCATTCCCAGAGTCAGATCGAGGTATCGATCGTTTTTACCTCCGAGGAATCGTATCAACTGCAGCTAATAACGAGAACCTATGCAATAGTTACACATTAACTTCATTCACGCAAATCATTAAACATGAACATTTTATTAAAGAATATCTTTAATAAAGTGCTCATGATTGCCTCGTTGGCCGAGTGGTCGCAAGTGCGACTGCCGGGCAAGGGGTCTCGGGTTCAATCGGACCCGAGACCCCTTGCCTTGCCAGGTCGTGCAAAGTACTACTGGGTTTTAAAAAAATCTCAGTGGTAGCACGGAGTCTGGAACTGTGCCCGGTATATGGCAATAGGCTCACCCCCTATTACATGGGACTCATAACATAAATAGTGAAAAGTGGGTGTTACATTGTATAGTGGCATAAAGTGCCGTAATGTGCACTGCCTACCCCTTCCGGGATAAAAGGCGTTATATTTTGTTAACTTTAATATTTTTAACTTATTGAAAGTATGAATTATGTGAGGCCGGACTTGAATCTTTTGTACAATCACCTGTGACTCCTCTGGTGTTGCGGGTGTCCATGGGCGGCGCTGATCGCTTACCATCAGGTGATCCGCCTGCTCGTTTGCCTCCTATTCCATTAAAAAAAAGTACAGTCACACTAATATTATAACTATGAAAGATTCTTTGTTCGATTGTTTGTCCGTCAATCACGCTGAAACTACTGAACGGATTTTGATGATATTTGGTATACAGGCAGGGTGTGGGCTGACTTAGGTGATAGGACTTTTTATCCAGATTAAATGCTCCCATGGGATAAAACAGGAATCATGTTCTACGCAGACGTAGTCGCGGGCAACAGCTAGTCTATATAGATAAAAATGAAACCCGTTTCCCATTGTCACGCCATAACTTGAGAATGGCTAGTCCGATTTGGCTGATTTTTCTTGTGTTATGTTTATTATTGTCAGGAGAAGGTTTTTATGACAGAAAAAAGTCCTGAAAATCCTACGGGAACGGGAGAAAACGGGATTGCGCATACGAAGTCGCAGGCAGAAGCTAGTATTATATAATTTACGTCCAATTTCAATAACCTGTCTATCTGTAGATTTGCTTACTAGTGATTGAATTTTGACACATTTTGTATGGAGCTTATGTCAAAATACTATCTCTAGTAAGCAAATCTACAGATAGATAGGTTATAGAAACTGGACGTTAGTCGTTAAGTCATTATCTTTTATGAATGATAATGAATCTGGTTTATCCTTACTAATACAGTGAAACTTGGTTAAGTGGGACCTGGATAAGTGAGAAACCTCCATAACTGGAACTCATGCTGAGGTCCCAACACTTTGGCACTGAATTACCTCTGTTAGTGGGACGAGGAAAACCTCTATATCTGGGATTTGTTCCTTCGACTTACCATCATAGTTACCTCTATAACTGAGAAAGCGAGTAAATTTTATATGCATACCTGAGATAACATTGTTTGTTTACTCATTCTTATTCTACCCACAAATTCCACACGTAATTCCAAGTCCACCTCTATTAATGGAACCCTCTGTAAATGAGACAGATATTTATTTATACCTGTATATCTGAGACACTGGGTAAGTGGAATACCTCTATAAGTGAAACGACATTGCAGGTCCCTTGATGTCTCTCTTAACCAGGTTTCACTGTATTATAAATCGGAAAGTGAGTTTGTTTGTTCCACTTTCACGCCGTAACTACTAAACCGATTGCTTTGAATTTTTGCAGACGTGAAGTTAGAAGTCTGGATTAACTTACTTTTTATCTCGGAAAAAATTGATATTCTCGAGGGAAAACGAAATTATTAGTATAGCGTAAACGCTTTGTGAATTGGTATATGTCACATAGGCTACTTTTTATCCTTTTGTGACGCGAGCGAAGCCGCGGGTAAAAGCTAGTTTGTTGATAAATATGAAATTGTGATGTATGTACCTACTGAATTCTGCCTGCGCTTCCTGTAAGATAAAGAAAAATATGTGTTATCTCAGACCATAATATATCCTTGTTTCAAATTTCATCTCAATCTCTTCAGCCGAGACGTGATTGAGTAAGATACATGCACGAGTCGTGCGTTTCAACTAGATCACTTGGATCGTGTGTTCCAACTTGATCACTTGGATCGTGCGTTTTAACTTCATCACTTGAACCGTGCGTTCCAACTTGATCACTTAGATCGTGTGTTCCAACTTAATCACTTGGACCGTGCGTTCCAACTTGATCACTTGGACCGTGCGTTTCAATTTGATCACTTGGACCGTGCGTTTCAACTTGATCACTTGGATCGGGCGTTTCAACTAGATCACTTGGATCGTGCGTTCCAACTTGATTACTTGGACCGTGCGTTCCAATTCCAACTTGATCACTTGGATCGTGCGTTTCAACTTGATCAATTGGATCGTGCGTTTCAACTTGTTCACATGGACCGCGCGATCCAACTTGATTACTTGGATCGCGCGATCCTATTTGGCGTTCTTGACAGTAAGCTTAGATTTAGGAGCACAAGCCCGTGGGTAAACCGTGGTTTACAGTTAAGAACGCGCGGTCTATCTTGACTTGTTAGCCTCGATTATAAGTTCAAATATAAGCATTTATTTTATCTAAGTATAATAATATTGCGTTCAGATTGGATCGCACGGTCAAATGATGGGTGCTAGAATTGGAACAAAAATTCATAAAGAATGGATAGCGCGATCAAATTTTATATCTTTTCTTTATATATATAATTGATCGCGTGGTATGAAAAATTGTTTTTGATATTTTTCTTCTATATTCTTAGATGATTCCCATTTTTTTGGTTTAGATATTTCTAAACCAGGTAGTGATTTTTTGATTGTTGTACTCATTATTGTATTTTATATTATATAAATAATAATTAATGTTTGTAGAACAAATTAGGAATATAATTTTTATCTTGACTAGATGGCGCTCATGTAGAGAGAAGTTCTGTTTGTCGAATCACTGTTGTTGTCAAAAAAATATAATCCAATCGCTTTGATTCTGAAAAATGTCTAGTAAACAAACATTCCGCACGATAACTAGCGCCATCTGGCCAGAACAAATAGGAAAATATCTTTTGAATGTCCTTTTTTGACATTCGACTGTCCTTCTGCCTGTCTTTTTTTGATTTTCGACTGTCTGTCAGGTTTCGACTGTTTGTCTGATATGATTCAAAGGACAAATAATATGTTAAGAAAATTTATTTAAAAATTAAGTTTAATAAATAATTATGTAGGTATGTATACACAATGAAATCTATTTCATTTTCGTCCCGAAGTAAATAATGGTTCTATCTCGGTAATACAATGGTTTTACAAAGAAATACAATGTTTAAAACAAAAAATAACTGGTGAACCATTGCAAAAAGCAAACTTCGAAAGCGCATACGAACACATTATCAAAACATCACGTCATGTAATTATCGACGGAGCCGCGGAGGGCTTAACGGGTTACCGGGGCTCCGGTTCGAAGTGCAGGAGAAGGAACGGGGTGGTTTTTAGTCAGTAAGAGTCTGACACCTCCTCTCGCCTCACCCAGGTGGGAGAAGTCATTGGATGATTTACCCACTTCAAAAAAAAAAAATGCAATCCTCGAAGATGAATTTCTTATGCGATTATTGACTATAAATTTACGTCTAGTGTTTCATGTGCGTATTTCCATGTTGTTTTTTTTTAAGTAAAAGAAAATGACGTCGTTATTTCTTTTGGCAATTTGTTTTGCCGCGGGGCGATAACGAAATAGATTTCACTGTCTATAATGTAATATGAGAATTTTATAGAAAGTTATGTGATACGGTACGAATATGTTATGATTTTATGTAGGTAAGTGAAGTTTATTGTTTTTGAAATGTCAATTTTTAAACTAAATAGGTACCTACGTACTTAATGGTTGTGAAAAAATTAAAATTAAATTTTTATACTTTCTCATATTTTCTATGTGTATCTTTTATTTTTAACATTCGATTTAAAAAGTGTGGAAAAGCCATGCTTCGGCACGAATGGGCCGGCTCGACCGGAGTGATGCCACGGCCGAGCAGAAAACTGACGTGAAACAACGCTTTCATTGTGTGAGTGAGGTTACCGGAGGCTCAATTCTCCTCCCCCCTACCCAATCTCCCTAATCCCTGAATCCTCAAATCCCTAATCCCTAAAAGGCTGGTAACGCGTAACACCTCTGGTGTTCCAGGTGTCCATGGGCGACGCCGATTGCTTACCATCAGGTGATCCGTCTGCTCGTTTACCGGCTTATTCAATAAAAAAACAGACATTTCTACAGTATGTCGTGGTGGCCCGGATGTTTAAGACGCCCGCTTTTCATGCATGAGGGTTCGAAACCTACCAACGGCAAGTACCAATGTAACTTTTTCTAAGTTATATGTACTTTCTAAGATTATCTAGACACCCCTGACAAACGGTGAAGGAAAACATCGTGAGGAAACCTGGGCTTATAATTTGTAATTATAAGTTTGAAATCGCCAACCCGCATTGAGCAAGCGTGGTGATTAATGCTCTAACCTTCTCCGTGTGAGAAGAGGCTTTGCTCAGCAGTGGGCATTTATAGGCTGTTGATGATGATTTCTATAGTCTACTGTAGGAAAGCTTTCCACAGGCTTATTTATTTATTTATTTATTAACTCATCATGCACAACGTGTACCTACATAAGGTGGACTTAATGACGCAGGCATTTTCCCCCAGTCTGACCTTTGGGTGATGCAGAGAAGAGTGAATGGTTGGAGCAAGAAGCAAGCAACTATTTAATAGAGCAAATACCTCTAGAAGATTATACTATCGTATTTCAGATATGAACATAAATAAATATAATAATAAGATTACATATACCTACACACGAGTACAATACAATAGACATACATACATAGACTCATCCTCACTAATATTATAATTCGGAAAGTGAGTTTGTTTGTTTGTTTGTTTCGGCTTCATGCCGTAACTACTAAACCGATTGCTTATAATTTTTGCAGACGTAAAGGTAGAACTCCGGATTAAATAATAGGGTACATTTTATCCCGAAAAAAATTGATATTCCCGAGGGAAAACAAAAGTATTGGTATAGATGGCGCTGTATGTAGGTATGTATTATGTATATGTCACATAGGCTACTTTTTATCCTTTTGTGACGCGA